ATTTATATATATGTCTGCTAAATTACTGACAGTCCGTCATGAGCGTTCGTCTATATTCAGCTTAAACAGGGTTTAATCGAATGCAACCCTATAAATTCCGCAAAAGCAGCAAACCGGTTTGGAGTTCTCCGTAGCAGCCTTCGCTTAGTGAAGTACACTCATGAAATGTGACGGGATAATAAACTAAACAAGGTAAAACTTGATTAATACAGTTACGGATATTGGAAAAAAAAAACATGCAAACTTATCTTTTCCTCCCTTGTGTCCGAACATTTCGTACGCTCAAAGACGGGAAAGCGATTGATAAGCTGAAAACCCTGCCGAAACAACATGGCCGGTTGACTGTCTACAATTTTAAAATTTTTGGTAACCTAGAAACAATAGAGAATTGTTTACAAACCTGTCTCAAAGCCAATCAAACCGCTGAACGCCGGCGTGTCCTCAAGCACCTCAATAATCTCTTTGCTGGCAACACTCGGCGACTTTGGACGCCGACCACCTCCAGTTATCTTGGTCTCCCTCTTGAATTCTGCAAATTCTTTCTTGGCGATGCTATGGAGATTTTTCCACTTGTCTTTTACCTCCGTGACTGTTCGCTTGGCTGTTCCGACCGCATTTACCGCTTGGGTTATTTCTTCCCATAGCATTTGTTTCTTTTTGTTGGTCACAGCATTCGTTAATTTGGATTGGATTAAATCGAGATTTTTTTTGACATTATCGGTGATGACTTCAATCTCATAAACTGAAAAATTATGCTTTCTTTTTCTGTCTTTCGTTTGGTTTCCACTTCCATGTGCACTCTCCCTTTCCGCCATTTTTTCCCTCCAATTTTTTTTTTTTTTGCGTAGCCGCGTAGCTCTTAATAACCGGTTTGACTGGTTTAACCTCAGCTTAATCGTGGGATAGTTAATCAAGGGATAAATCTGCTTTCAGGAACGTTATTTTAAACCTAGATTAGCTATCCTTGGGATAAGAAATTTAATCGTCGATTAACCTCTAATCGAGGGATAATTTAATCGGCTTTCGAACAACCGGGGCCTGGGCAAGATGGATTCTTACTTTGTTCTATACACTAATCTTTGATTTTGGGGAAAGTTGGTAAAACCACATTCATAGACATTAAATGTGCCCATTATATCTGAACCATGATAGAAACCCTTCCTGTGAACATTAGGTATTTGATTCTTAATAAATTTATATATTTAGCTTTCTTTTTACTTTAGCACATATTTTCTCTCTTTCAGGAAGGTTTGATTTAAACAAGTTCAGCATTCAGTGTAGCCGATGTGGTGCTGTTACCCCATCCGGGTCCATTAGTGACGTGGTTCAGGCTGGGTATTGGCCAGGAAGCCCAACAGACACAAGCTATCTTTTTGATCAGCAGCTGTTTCGTCTATGGGATGCCATTCAAAAGAGAATGCCTGGGAGCTCAGAAAGCTCCTTTATCAGAGCTCTCGAGGACGTATCTGTAACAAAAGGAAGGGTACATGATTCCACTTTTTATTTTCAATAAACTGAATAATAGCTACACTGTGATACTAAGTCACTCGCAGTGATACTAAGTGCCATAGAACATGTAAAGATACCATATAAAAGGGTAAAAAATAAACTACATGTATTAGAATATCATAAAAACCGATGTTTTGTCATAATCAGGGTTTGTCATACATGTATAATTTTTAATGTTACACATTATTTTTTATTTCTTTTAAAAATGTACATTTAAAAATACATGGCTTCATTTGCACATGTTATTCTAAGACAGTGTTAATCCATTTTTGTATATAACTTAACTAGTAAGTTATTTACTTTGACAGGCACCAACCATCAATAATTCTGCGTTCTCTCGTTCATTCAAAGAGTGGAAGTTCTTGCAGTTAGATTGTTTGCAAGGACTAAATTGGATGAAGTGCTCTCCTTGTTCAGTTTTTCAGCATTCATGCCATGTTGATGGCAATATGAAACTTCATCGTTACAATACATCAGGAAGGTAAATATTCAATAGTGGTGTGATGAATTGTTTTATTTAAATAGTGAAAAACCAATGTTTGTATGTTGTAGTGTAATAGTGAAATGCTACCTTTATTAATTCCAAGTTTTGAAAAAAATTTAATGCAATGTGATTTGTCTCGGTCATTGCTTATTTCAATTTATGATGAATCTTTTGAATACTATCTCTTTTAATGCGAGCCTGCGTTTTCAACATTAATTTAATGGCTGCCTTATTATTGAATTTCTGAAGCATATCAAGGGCTGCCTTTTTAATTAAATACCTTGTTCGCTGATGTTAAAATTAAATAACACTTTGCCTTCTGTATATCTTAATGCAGTACTAAAATTGTGTGTGTTGGAATCAGAATAACAATTCAGAGAAAGTGATATTAAAATTAAATACAATAAATTTTGTTTGAATTGTCTTTTACCTAGTCAAAGAAGGCCATCATATTATGGAGACCTGTTCATTGCCAAGAACCACGACGTTGACAGCCACCTGAAGGCAGTTTATGCAAAGAAGTCCAAATCTAAGGTTTTAGAAAATGCATTTTCTGTTCCAAATTTTAAAATAAAAACTTAGGTCACTATGTTTGAGTTCATTCTCATGACATGATGCTTTTATGGGTTTTCAATGTACAGGACGTTGATAATAGATGTGGTGACTCACACTGGAGGGCTGCAAACAATCATGGCAGAAAGGCAGCCAAATTGGACGAGACTGGACTGGAAATTGCAGGTCAGAATAAAATGTAACTTGTTGAAAACATGTGGTTGATAAGGGTGTGTTTGATGTACTAATAATTATCGAGAGTTCTGTTTATATAATCACGTAGGTTGCAGACATGGCTTGGCTCAGTGGGCAGTGAACATGTTACAGGGAGAGCTGTATGGCTATGCAAACTTTGTACACCAGAAAAAAATGATACCAGCTGGTGTCAAGTATTTCTGGGAAGACATTGTCTGCAAGTACTGGAAGTGGGCTACAAAAGCTGGTGGGCTTGAAAACTGTGATATGAAACCAGCCTTGTCTGTGATGCATGCAAAAGCTCATAGTTGGACATGCCAGGTAGTATATCAAAAATAGAAATTAAATGTGATATCAGAAAGGGGTTGTTTTTGGGACAGCAAATTCTAAGTTACATCATGTTGAATGATTCGCGCTGACTGTAAAATTTGCTATTATAATTTTTGTTGACAGGTCATATGGGGAGGCCGATGGCAAGATGGAAGTGCCTGCTCCACTGGCGAGGAAGTGGAACAGATCAATTCCCACATGTCTCATTGTGGAAACACTACAAAGTACATGCTTCCTGAGAGTGAGTTGAAACTTTAACCAATAATGCAGTAATAAAGTGTGTTTAAAACAGTTCCTTTCCTTACGAGGTTGACTAGCTAGTAGCAGCTTACTTTCATTTTGGTTAATCTTATACAGTGCAAAGTTTTTCAAGTATACAGTACGAATTGAAAATAATCTAAATCATTTTATTATTTTACCATGAATCTCTTTTATTACAATTTTCAAGATCGAGAAGAGCTCATTACTGAGCATGCACTGAGGTGGAACAAAAGAAAAATTGTTGGAATGGTACAGAGTCTTGCGCGGCGATACACTCGTGTGGGTAAAATGTATATTATGTGGTGTACAGATGAAGACATGATTTTTTTTTTCTGTAAATTTTTTTGTTGGTGGTGGAAAGAGCTCTACACTAATTTTCTATAAGTAAGGAAAATGTGGTGTACAGATGAAAGGGTGTAGAATGGTAAAATCCAAGACAAGCTGAGACGCCAAGGCCCTCGTTTAAAATCCGAGACAAAGACTTAGCTATTTTGTAAAAACGGAACCTGAGATGCTGCGATTCCAAAATTCAATTGTAAGACACCGTGATCAACTGAAGAAATCTGGGCAAAAGTTGTGTACAGCGCTCTGTAGCTCTCTGTACGTCGTTTTACAATAAATTATGTCTTGATAAATCAGAAGGGCAATTAAGGATTATTGTGCTTTCAAACTACAAGTTACAGACATGTATACAGGCAAGTATACATACATATACACATACCGGTAGTCTTTTGTAACAACTAATAATTTGCCAAGACCCATCATTTTTCAAGGACCCTTGTACAACCCTAGATGAGGATAAAATATTTCTCTAAACATTTTTTGTTCCAAAGAGCTCTACCATAGTAAGTAAAGAAAAAAAGTCAGTTTCATTTAAGATTGATTGTTTTTTTCACTTGTCTATTGCTTGAAAAGGCTACTAAAATGCTAACTGAATCACGCAAAGAATTCAATGAAGTTCTTGACACGTATGAAGTCCCATTGGCTCAATTTAAAGCAGACTAGTGGAAACGTGCTGTTGTTAGTCATGCACATGGTAAGGAAGCTTTTTTGTCTTTTGTATTATTTGATTTTGCAATAACGTCATTTGAAAAATACCTTCTACTTGCAGCAACAACGTCAACAACAAACAGAATTTTACTCTTGTAACACAGCTCTAATTTATGAGATATTGTTTTTTTCAAACAAAATACAGAGTTTATCAGTATGACAGTAAATAAAGCTCAAGGGAAATTCTATTTAGCAAGTTAATGGTAGTCAAGCGTTATAAGAGTCAATTCTGAAACAAATGTCTGTATCATGTTATATATATAGCTATCATGCAATGTTTGCAATTGTTTATCAGTAGCTATCACCTTTTTGGTCAGTGATCTTGGGGCCAATTTAAATGCTACTCAGCCTAACCATTTCTGCTATTTAGGCTAGCCTGAAATCAGGAGCAGAAGTTTCAATATACTGCTTACCAATTCCCATTTTTCTCCAGGTTTTTTAATTATTTTATTTGAAGTTCAGATTAGGTTATGAAAATAGGTTTACTTGGTAACCCAGGTTGGTAACTGATTGATCAAATTCTGTCACTTCTAAATGACAATATATATATTTTTTTAAAACAGAAGTGGAAGCCTTGCAGGGTACTTCTAGCCGTCTTCGGCTTCAAGATGAAATAGAGATGTTGGTTTCAACTATCGAGCAGACTACTCAATCCATGAACAAACTGGCTGGTATGTTTGGTAAAATTCATCCATCCATACTATACCTGCCAACCTACCAACTCCGTCACTCACTGTCTCTCACTCACCCACTCACTTGCACGCTCGCTCGATCGCTCGTTTGCTTAGATTTATTTATTTTTTAAGCTGAGGTCACATCTTTGTTTTAAACATCATTGTAATACTATAAGCACTTTAAGTTGATTTGGGGTCATATTGCCTCCTTTCAATTGTTTTAATTCCATTCAGGATCATCCAAGCAACGCACACGATTACGTAGTAAAATTTCTGCAGATAAAGCCAAACTTTCTTCTCAAATACAACGGTATAATGAAGAGACACAGGGTGTTCAAGGCGCCAACCAGCAGTGTACATGTTCTGTCTCTGAAGTCATTAAAGGAAACTTCCCATGGGGAAGAAATGCAGGTGAAGCATGATCCATATTCATTTATGAAATTTCCATTCAATTGAGTTATGTGGTAGTGTTTGTTTAATTTGCTGAAGACATGTACTGATTGCTGTCCACGGCTGCCGATTACTCAGGCTTTTACTTTTGTAAACATATTTTAGTAAACAAATAGTTTGTTACTAATATATGCGCATTCACACTGGGTGGTTTGCTACGCCGTGCTGATGAGGCCCAAATAGGCCGAAACAGCCGTACATGGTCGTGATAATTTGCAACAATGTTAGTCGAAGTTGTTTTGCGTAGTAACAGCATTCAACGCCAACTTAAATATTTGTTCCGTTTTTCCATAGTCTATTGCGCTTCAATTATAGCACTTACAACAGCGATTGTCTAATGTTCACAATCCATATCTTCTGTTATGTTCGTACGGTAATGTTTTATGCTACGCAGTCGCGTCGGGACATTTCTCAAATTGTTAAGACTTCACTACACTTTAATTTGTGTAAAAACTGTGCTTTGTTTACCTGCTTCTCTCTTTAATGATAATGCTATCGCAGATACACCGATACGGATCAAGAGAATAATTGTAGAGAAGAGCGAGATAGCGAAGAGATGGGACGAGGAAGTTGCTCTGGTAAAAAAGGAGATGGCCAACTTCATTGCGTATTACATGGACGTGAGCATTCCCCACCTAACAAAGATCGCAGAGGAATTGCAGGGAAAATTAGACAGTTAGTAAATATCAGTTGAAAATACAGTCGGACCTCTATTAAGCTACCACCCTCGGGACTTTGAAAACTGGCCACTTAATAGAGGTTGGCCGTTTAATAAAGGTATCGAATACTGCAGTTTAGAGACACTGAAATAATTTGGGACTTAAAAAAATGGCCGCTTAATGGAGGGTGGCCGCTTAATAGAGGTTCTACTGTAATTTGTTTTCGGTTGAGAACCATTCTTCACCGAAAAAATAGATTTATTTGATTTGTTCTCGTTCTTTACTCCTTTTAAGATCTTTCCAGGCCACTTGATGCCCGTGGACCACCAGAAATCGAAGAAGCATCTGTGGAGTCGGAGAATGTAGGACTGAGAAAAACTTTTATTTGTCATATGCGCAAAGCCTTGAGCGTAGTGTTTAAACGATGGAAAACACTGTGCACTGGAAAAATCAGTTAGTTTATGCAGTGGATATCATGCTTTGCTTTGTCACATCAGCTGCATTACGATTTATCCGGTTGATAGTGTTATCCAACCTTCGAATAACTGGGTCCCGACCTTTTAACTAATGATGAGGTCTTGTCCGACCTTACAATAAAAGAATTAGCACGTACTTGCGTAGTCTGACAGATACTTACATTGTAACAAGAAAGTAGCACTTGAATGGGCTGCCTTCTGGTGTATCTCGAAAACAATCTAAATTGTTGTCACCTTACTGGCTAAAACGTTGATCCAATCGTTTCCCTTTCTTGCATTTTGTCGTAGAAGTGACTTCATGACAACCGAAGTTCATGTCGTCCGATTCTGTCTGCTGTGACAGTATTGACTTTCAAATCAGTCTGTCGCTTTGCAAGTGTAAGTCCTTTTTAATGACGCGTATGATTATAGAGCGATTTCGAGTACACAATACATACAGTTCAACCCTTTTTGGCTATATAACGTGCCCATTTTTGTTATTTTTTTAGGAAATGATCGGCAGCTATAGAACTGTGTCGGTGGACGCAAGAATTATTGGAGGGAAGTTGGCCTATGCTAAAAAAGGGATCGCTTTCTGCAAGCTTCAACTTGTCAGCGCAGCCTCTAAATTTCAAACAGCACTATCTGGTAGTGACTATGAGGATTCGTTAAATATCCAAGACAATGAGGATGACAATGACAATTGGGATGGAGGTGATGATTCTGACCATGACGATGTCGAAGAGGAATATGAGCATTATATTGCTAATTCCGACAATGATGCCGTTGACACCGACACGTCAACAGATGACAATTTTGAAGTCCTCGGGGAAAGCATTACTCAGAATGACTTGTTCGTATGGAAATTCCCGCCTGAAGTCAGCCAATCAACACTTGACGGCCGAAATGGTAGTTCGGCTTGCAGTGTTATAGCCCTTATCCTTGCACATGGCGCATGGCATCAAGGTCTTAATCTCCAACCGACACTTGTGCTGTCTCCTCTGTGGGTCAAACTTGCCGCTATTAGAGTAGGAAACCGGCTTTACGACCGCTGTCGTCTAAGCTTGCCGCAACGCTTCTTGTCTGCGTCAGAGGCTGCCACCGTCGCGCAACCGTGTGTAAGCGTCTCAGTTGACTCCCCTTTGCCAGTTCGCGTTTTTGATGAACATGGCCCCACGACGTTGTTGTTCCAGTTGAGAAGGCTGTGTGCACGGGACCACGGTGATGCTGCCCTGTTAATAGTGAACGAGAAGACAGTTGTCTTTATACCAGTCGGGAATTCGTCCATTGTTTTGGTGGATACACACCGACATGGCCTCCACGGTGCCGAATTATTACTGGGCCATCAAAGCAGCTTGAATCAGTTTGTCAGTGTCTGCCAAACAGTTTTGGATCTACAGGATGACACCTACGCTAATTTGTGTTTTATTTCTTTTTAATGACATTAAGTATCCTCGATGTACATAGGTTAATACAAGTGGTTAATCATCTTTCATGCACTACGCTCAAGACTAAGTGTAATGGTTCCAATAAAGGCAAAAGTCAGACATTCTGTCGTATCCCTCACATAGACTGTATATAAAACCCAAATAATGGAAATTGTCTCCTATCGCCATTAGCTAATAAAAACCTTTTGTTGAACTGTGCAAATTGGGTGCCGTATTCCGTCTGATCCCTCCCAAACGCTATATATCTAGTCCAATTGATGAAAATTGTCTTGTAACGCCATCATATCTAGCCCAAACGGTGGAAATTGACAACAATGGCTATCAGCTCAAAAAAAGGTTTTAGTTAACTGTGTGCGAATTGGGTGCCCTATTCTATAATACAGTGGAAGCTCTCTTAACAGACTCTCGTAAGCGGACAGCTTAACTCCCATACAAACACTGCAAATTTCACATTCTCGTAAGCGGACATTCCAGTGAGCGGCCGCGGATACGCTTGTACGGTTCCTTTGTTTTTCAGCTCCAGTAAGTGGAAACCCTAAAAAAGAAATACAGAGAAATTGGGCCTGATCATGAAAGGCACTCCTAAATATTGTAAACTGCATAGCTACTGTTTGTTTCAGTGTTGGTTACAACTGTAAATCACTAAGGGGCAGTCCTAGTACTTAGTTATCGCCACTATCGTAGCACTGTATAGCCAGGGCGCAATAAATTTTTTGGTATATTTCCAATATTTATTGTTAGCTTGGCAAGCTCCTGTAATCGGCCATTTCATCTAGTGGCCGCCTACCAGAACCATTCTCGTAAGCGGCCAGCTCCAGTTACGGACACTTTTTTCGCGTACCGAGGGTGTCCGCTTACGAGAGCTTAGACTGTATCCTTCTCAGAGGTTATACATATCTAGCCCAAACGGTGGACATTGACAACAGTGGCCATCTACTCAAAAAAAAAAAAAATGCTTCGTTAAACTGTGTGCAAATTGGCTGTCCAAGTCTGCCATATCCCTCTCAAAGGCTATGTATCTAGACCAAACGCCAGGACAATTTTTATTTCGCATATGTCTTTGGAGAAATCTTGACTTTAATTCGCATGCGAAATAGCCTTGATTTTGGATCATTTGCCGAGAAATTGTAGTATACTAGACGCGTTTCATTCAACATTGGGCCATATTCGTATACTTTTATAGTCAAATATTACTTGATTTCCGTGCGAAATAGTCTTAATTTTGGATCATTTGCCGTGAAATGGTAGCATTCTAGTTTCGCTTCATCCAATATTGGGCTTTATTCGCCTATGTTTTTAGAGAAATCTTGACTTTAATTATCATGCGAAATAGCTTTGATTTTGGAACATTGGCCGGGAAATGATAGTATACTGGATGTGTTTTATCCAATATTGGTCCATATTCGCATACGAAGATAGTCAAATCGTACTTTCGTTTCCATGCGAAATGGTCTTGATTTTGGAACATTTTGGATCATTGCCGTAAAATGGCAGCATTCTAGATACTTTTCATCCCATATTGGGCCATGTTCGCATAAGTCTATAGTCCAATCGTACTTTAATTTTCATGAGAAATGGTCTTGATTTTGGATTATCTGCAGCGCAATTAATGGCAGCATACTATATGCGTTTCTTCCAAGATTGGGCCATATTCGCATACGGCTATAGTGAAATCTTAATTTCATTTTCATGCGAATTGGTCTTGATTTTGGATCATTCCACGTGAAAGGGTACTGATAGTAGCAGCGTTTCATACGGTACGGGACCATATTCCCATGCGGCTATAGTCAAATCTTACTTTCATTTCCATGCGAAATAGTCTTTGTTCTGTATGATTTGCCGCGAAATACAGTCTAGATGCGTTTCTTTCAACATTTGGCCATATTCGCATAAGGCTATGATGAAATCTAACTTTAATTTTCATGCGAAATAGTCTTGATTCTGGATCTTTTGCCGTGAAATGGCAGCATTCTAGATGCGCTTCATCCAATATCGGGCCATATTCGCCTGCGTTTTTGCGACAACATGAATTTAACTTTCATGCGAAATAGTCTTGATTTTGGAACATTTGCCAATATTGGGCCGTATTTGCAGGCGTTTTTGTGAAAACTTGACTTTCATTTTTATGCGAAATAGTCTTGATTTTGGAACAATTGCCGTGAAATGGTGGCATTTTGGATGCGCTTCATACAATATTGGGCCATATTCGCATGCGCTTTTGTGAAAACATGAGTTTAATTTTTATGCGAACTAGTCGCTATAGTCGCATAAGGCTATAATCAAATCTTATTTTAATTTCCATGCAAAGTAGTCTTGATTTTGTATGATTTGCAGTGAAATGGAAGCATTCTAGATGCTCTGCGTGCACTGATTGGACCATATTCGCAGGCGATTTTGTGAAAACCTGAATTTAATTTATATGCGAAACAGGCTTTGTTTTGGAACATTTGCCGTCAAAGGATAGCATAGTAGACGCGTTTTATCCAATATTGGGCCATATTCGCATACGGCTATAATCAAATCTTATTTTGATTTCCGTGCAAAGTAGTCTTGATTTTGTATGATTTGCCGTGGAATGGAAGCATTGTAGATGCCCTTCATCCACTGATTGGGCCATATTCGCTTGCGTTTTTGTGAAAAACTTGACTTTAATTTTTTGCGAAATGGTCTTAATTTTGGAATATTTGCCGCGAAAGGGTAGCATAGTAGACGCGTTTTATCCAATATTGGGCCATATTCGCATACGGCTATAGTGAAATCTTATTTTAATTTCCAAGCGAAAGTAGTCTTTATTTTGTATGATTTACCGTGAACTGGAAGCATTCTAGATGCTCTTCATCGATTTTATGCGAAAAAGTCTTTATTTTGGAACAATTGCCGTGAAATGGTAGCATTTTATAAGCGCTTAATACGATATTGGGCCATATTCGCCTGCGTTTTTGTGAAAACTTTACTTTAACTTTTATCCGAAATAGCCTTGGTTTTTGAACAGTTACCGTGAAATGGTAGCATTCTAGATGCGCTTCATCCAATATTGGGCCATATTAGCATGCGTTTTTGTGAAAACTTGACTTTAATTGTTAATTGAATATTTGCCGTAAAAAGGTAGCGTAGTAGCCGCGTTTCATCCAATCGATTATATGCGAAAAAGTCTTTATTTTGGAACAATTGCCGTGAAATGGTAGCATTCTAGATGCTCTTCATCGATTATATGCGAAAAAGTCTTTATTTTGGAACAATTGCCGTGAAATGGTAGCATTCTAGATGCGCTTCATCCAATATTGGGCCATATTAGCATGCGTTTTTGTGAAAACTTGACTTTAATTGTTAATTGAATATTTGCCGTAAAAAGGTAGCGTAGTAGCCGCGTTTCATCCAATATTGGGTCATATTAGTATACGGATATAGTCAAATCTTACTTTAATTTTCATGCGAAAAAATGTTGATTTTGGAACATTTGCCCTGCAACGGTAGCACAGTGTACGCTTTTCATCCCATTCTGGGCTATAGTTGCAAACGGCTATAGTCAAATTTTACTTTAATTTCCATGCGAAATAGTAAAGGCTTGATTTTGGAACATTTGCCGTGAACGGGTAGAATAACACCCCTCTGTAACACAAACCCGACCCAGTGGATTATTTTCCCCTACCCAGCGGAAAATTTAGTCTCCCCAGCTATGTCAAGGGTCCCCCTACGAAATTTAACGAAAATCACTAAAATCACTAAAATCACTAAATTCACTAAAACTACAAAATTTTGTAGTTTTAGTTAATTTAGTGATTTTAGTGAAAATTTTGATTTTAGTAATTTAGTGAATTTAGTGAACTGCCTTGCAAAATTTTGCAGTTTTAGTGATTTTAGTTCACGAATGCGTTCAATCCTGGACATAAGTGCAAGCATACAACATAGTGTCGTCAGGTTGATGATGAAAAAAGTGCAAGGCAATAGTTTCCAGATTTGAGGAGGAGGGGGAGGGGCAGTAAAGGGGGATTTTTAATTACATTGTATCTCTGGAAAAATACTGGCTACGTGCGACACACTTCTTTCCTTCCTTCAGTTTAATTATTTAGCCACTATAAAGCAGCCAATTTCGGGGATAACGAATAACGGTAAATTAATAGAAACCCCTCATTTTCGTCAACTGGCCATGTTTTTATCGAATAACTTTTTACAAAAACCTAGTCGAAAATAAGCCGACCCAGTGGGAAATTGGCCAATCCAGTGACTTTTTTCCCGAAAACCCAGCGAGGATAAAGATTCCACTGAGTCTGTTACAGAGGGGTGTTAGAATAGTAGACGCATTTCATCTTATATTTGGCCACATGATCTGCATAAGGCTATAGTCAAGTATGCAAAACCAATAGCAGCACTTTCAGTTAAGCCCCGGTAAATTATGGGTTCCCAGTCGTCATTCCCTGGGATATCCCTCTAGATCCTTTTTTAGGTGGCTAATAACCAGATGTTTCGGCCACCAGGTATAAAATCAATGCATTTGTACCAGTCTTTAAGGTCGCGGTGGATAGGATTCTCATCGGTATGTATTTATGTAAAGAATATGCACGAAGTCAGGCGATTAAAACCGACAATATGCGATATATAATCGCACGTAATTTATATCGCGTAGCAGGAGCCTTTTTGCCGGTGCATTTATAAAATATTGAGCGCGGCAAACCATGTACATGCGCATGTCGGCAGAAACTTTTGACACGATAGGTTGAAATATTTTCGCTATTTAGTAAAAAAGAATTGAGTTTTTGTAATTAATACTGGTAGTAGGAATAAAGTATGAGTTGATAAAAAAAATCCTTACTGTATGTATTCAGCTACTACTCTCAAAACGCCGCGCAGTGGTGTATTCTATTAATATGTGCAGCGAATTTCAAAGTATTGCTGATTTCTGCGTGCACTTATCTTGGTTTGGTCCGTGCAGCAAAATTTTACCAAAATTACCATAATCACAATTTGAGTTAATCAGCTCCCTCGTATTTGCTCGGAAAGCCTTCGGAAGCGTAAAAACAAGCAATTTTGTGTCCAAGAATATAGCGCGGACAGAGAATTTCACGAGCTGACACGGCAGGGGGATAAACTAGACATATTGTAGATTGTCATATCAGAGGCCGAATTTTCAAAATAAGCCTTAGAAGGTAAGATTGAAGCCTTTAAATTCTCGCATCATAAATTTTGCGCCTTTAAAGGCAAATATCTTTTAAAGAAACTTGAAATTAAAAAATCGGGCTCTGACTTGACACAATAGATGTTGTGATAGATCACTCAGTGGTTAAATCAAGTTTCTCTGTGTCTGTGTCTTCGTCTTCGGGGTGAAAACCTGGACACAAAATCACATTTTAAACAAATTTAATTTAAGTTGCTGTCTGCATTGCCCTCAGACGCCATCCACTCAATATAAATCAATGCTTATGCACTTTGATAATTCTTCAATATGTCTGCTAAGTTTTGACGAAATCGGCTTTGAACTGTTCATGATATTAGGAATTTAAAAGTGATACCCCTGCCAATATTTTGCCTAATGAATATATTCATGGTCAAGGTATCCACCGCGACCTTAAGGGACAATTGCACGCAAGATATATATAACTTTATACGCATAGCCTGCAGCTTGCTTTAATTGTGATGCTATTGTGTTGCATTAGGATAGGAGAAAAATGCTAAAAGTGGTGAAAGCAAAGAAGTATCAACAGATAGAAAGAAAGGCTAACAGATGGTAAGCAACAGATGGTATAAAGGATTCCTGTCAAAAAATTAATTGCAATATAATCCACTTCCATCCTTGCCGTCCTGTACCACTTGCTCAAAATACCCGTTAATTTCTTTCTTGTTTGGTGGGATCTTTTTGTCTAGTGTAATCATGTCTTGTGGCATTTGGCAATATTACAGTCAGTTGCAATGACATTATCAAAGAAAAAAGAAAAAGGTTAAAAAGCAAATAGGAATTAAAGTTAGGCATTATAAATACAAGTTTGAAATTCGCCTGAAGAAACGGCCTTAACACACACGTAAATGAATTTATCTTACTATACACGAATATGTGAACAGAGAAAAACTCGTGAGTTTTCTGTAAATGTATGTAATGTAACGTAAATGCGGCCAACTTAGACGGATAAACCAATTCCTATTTCCCTTTTTTCTACGACAACGTTGTTGCAATTAGGTGTATGTGGAAGTTAGAAAATATACCTTTCCATGTTCAGTCGTTGTTGAATTAGACAAATAAATGCAAATGCACCCCCCTTTGCGACCAAATGTTCTATCATCGTTAGCGCTAATAAACGGGTTTGATGGATTGTTTGCGAACGATGAGGTCCCTCCCAGAGGTGCCATATCTGGGCCAATTTCTGCTATTTGTTTGCTTTTGCTATCATCACCTGTAAAGAGGTTTGTTGAACTTGTGAGCGAATTAAGTATCGTATTACGTCATATCGCACCCAAAGGCTATATATCTAGGCCAAGGTTGGAAAAGGTCTTTTATGAACAACTACGCCGAGAAAACGGTTTTGTCAAATAGAGTCCCGATTTCATCATATGCATCCCAAAGGTTATATATTTAGGCCAAACGATGTACTAGCATTTGGCATGCAACTGAAGAAAATAATAATAATAATAATAATAATAATAATAATAATAATAATAATACGGGACTTAAGTCGAAAATAGTTCAACGAAACTATTTTTTTTTTTTGCCGCAGTTGACAATATCCATCACTTGAACAAGGGAGGGATAATAATGTTCGTTTTTTAAAACAGTACAAACTATTTTAATACTTCAGTAACATTATCTTTAATCGAGATTTATTGCTTTCTTGCAACTTATTATAATTATTTGCTGTTTATTGCAAACCTGATTCTAAGGAAACACAATTCTGGCAACAAAAAATTGAGACATCACCTCAAGGCCAGGTTATCACTAGGAAAGAAAAGTTGGAAGATGTTGAGTTTCCTTTTATTTTGCTTCGAGCCTTTTTAAATAAACCACTGACACTGTGTTACGCCACTCGCTTTCCCGCTAACAATCGCATGATTTAAAGCTAAAAAAACAAAACCGTCGGCAACAGCAAAAGTAAAAAAACTGTCAACAAGTAAAGCGCATTACAATATGCTTCCACTTGTTACAGTTTCAAACCAAACAAGCTACAATCTTGGACGCAACTGTTGAGATACTTGGCCACATTTCCACTTATTAAGGTACAACAGTTCACTTTTTCAACCCCCCTTACGGGTTTCCCCATTTCAAGGTTGTTAACGTTGTCGTGCAGTGAAAACAAAGCCTGGTGGATCGCAAACCCTAAGAAACACCATTGAGTAGAAGGATAGGGAATAAATACTTCTTATCCGTTTCCAAGTACTATAGACACTAGCGAAAAAATCATGTATGAAATGTGTTTGTCACAATTAGTTTTGTCCAAGATTGTTGCTGCAGATATATTTACGTAAGACAACTTTTTTACCCGCAATGTACTTCTCACACTTGAACAAATTAACAGCAGGTAAAACGAAGAACATTCCTTTCTGCAAGTGGCGGTTTTCATCGGGATCTCCTAAAATAAATGGTGCAGGGACAAGGGGCTTTGTGAGGTATGTTATCAAAACACAGACCATCCCTCTCTCAATTTTATGACCGTGAAGAGTATCACGATTTCTGTCCACAATGCCAACAGAAAGAATCTCGCCATCAACGACATAGGCAACTGCGTCGCTCTCTTTCCCCACTGGTACTTGTTCCCGCTCAGCCACAACTCCCCTGCCTTCACAATCATCAACCTGCCCATTTTGATTTCCACCTGCCCGACTACAACTACCATTCACTTGAAAACGCCCAGCTCCACCTACCCGACTACCAACATCATCCCCCTGATCATGCCCAACTCTGCGTGCCTGATTACTACCATTATCCACCTGCCCCCGTCCAGCTCTACCTGCCAGAGTCTGACCCTCATGTACTTGGTCACTTCCAGCTTTACCTGCCTGACTAACAGTGTCTACCACCTGCCCAAGGCCACTTCTGTCATCTAACTGTCCAGGCCCAGCTCCACCAGCCACCCTACCACATTCATCAACCTGGCCACTGCAAGCTCTACCCGCCCAACTACTACCATCATCCAGCTGCCCATGCCTAGCTCCACCTCCCCGACTACCATCCTCATCAACCTGTTCAGGCCCAGCTCTCTGTGCCACGACCTGATTGCTAGTTGTTGCTTCACCCACACCATCCAACTGCTGTTCTTGTGCAATATCTGCCGGGACCTGATTGATGATTGTGGCACCACCCGCACCAGCCATCTGCTGTGGTTGTTCAGCACTACATTCCTGACTTTCATTAGCCTCATTCCCATCTTGTGATACTGGCTTCACACCCGTACAAACAACGGACATTGTGCCATTTTTGACGGAAACAGTTATGGACGGATCCTCTGGCTCGTCATCAATCGTGTGTTCACTGCCATGAAACTCTATAATGGAGACACAGATTTTTTTATTTAATCCTGATCACTCTTAGTAAAACAGAAAACTTTTAGTACATAGATCAAATGCATTAAACTACATGTGAAAGAACCCTCTGGCAGAAATTAAATACCGAAAAATATGCAAAGCAAATTTAAGAAGGTTCTAATATGTTAGTTACAGTCAAATTGTGATACACATTAAAATCAAAGAGTTTGAATTTGAGATTACAGCGATAGGGATACACATGTTTCACTATATAAATGAATTCTGCTATCAGTTTGTTAGCTTTTTCACAATAAACTCAAACAAATATTGAATGTATACTTAATGACACATCCCATCTTTTTTGGTAATCCCCCAGTCATCATCACCATCATTATGGTTATAATGATTAACAATCTCTCAGCCTAAATTGACAATAATGTCAAATACAATGAAAAATTTGGCCAGACTTCTTAGACTTCATGCGTATAATGATCTTACTGAGTAAAACGACTAGTGTTTTTTTACCTTGTATATTTATGAGGTTTTCTATTTCCTTAGGAAAACCATTTGGAAAATTTTGCCACAAACCATGTGTTATGACATGTTGCAAAAGAGCACAAGAAATTTTATTGGATCAGGATGGAAAGTTCTTTTGGGTGGAATGTACTGTTTTAATCATAAGATTATCAAGACAACGAATATAGTGGTGATTGTCAGTTGCACTTACCTTTGGAAAACTGTTTGTAAAGTCTTGTAGTCACAAGACCATATTTTGATGCATTTTGTTTGTTTTTTCCAACAAACTTTTGGCCAGCACCAGGTGTACCGTAAGTGTGTACAGATGTACATTTGCCATGTCTGTTGAAGTATAGAACAACAACATCCCAACCATGATGTTGGTATAAAACATTTGCCTGAAATTCAATCAACAAGAAATATGTCACTTACAGATATATGTATTAAAGATCCTAGAAAATTAGGAAAAGGTCTTAATTGGAGTAAAACTGAGAATTCCATAAATATTTTACATTTCACAGTATGGTTATCATCATTAGTATCATGATCATTACTTTGGTTTGAACTCAGTGGAACAAACCGCTTACAAACAAAGTCTATCACAGTGCACCGCTGGCTTTCAACATGGAACATGCATCATGGATCACAGGTGCAACATTTATAGAAATAGGTGTGTAATTTATTGTCATAAAATAACTGAAAAGTAAAGGAGGAATTATATTCAAAAATACTACGGTGATCATGTCATCTAATGGGCCATGCACTCATGGCATCAGGTGACATGGATCATCCTCTTGCTAAGTATGTACAATTTATTACATGGCTTTGCATACACATGCAGCAGTTACCCATTCTGAATGTTAATATGGCCATATAAGTCACATAACAGTAAATTGCAGTCTGCCAAAAATGCAAATTACTTATCTCATATATCAGTGGTAATTAAGCGAGAGACATACAAGAGCAATTTGCATGCACAACAGGGTGCCACCTAGTATTAAAATGGATTTTTTTTATCATTAGACTCCCTGGTTATCAAAAGTCTTTTTCTTTCATTCCTACAGTCTGTTGGGAATTGACAAAGAAAGTGTTCATCAAGAAAAAAAAGGGGGGACATTATTATATACCAACAGTTTTTAAGGAGTCAAGCAGAGTAATCCACAAGCAAAGATATTAATTAAAAGGTATTGAATATAAGGCTCAGAGTGTGTTTAGAATTTTCACTCAGCTCACAGCTTTGATGAAGCATGCATGCATGCATGCATGCATTGTTACATTAATTATGTAGGCTACATGCAGTTAAAGGATGAACATAACAAATCCACTTGTCATTCATTGCAGTAATTACCCGATACTCCAAAAGTTTCCTTTGTTGAGTGACATGTGTTTTCTTTTTCTTGGCAAGTTTTTCCCAGTCAAAGGTTTTAATATTGATTTTGGCCCCACACCCTTCCACCTTGCAACGCTTGGCTGCATTGTAATTCTGGCCACCACATGTGTCGCATTTCTGAGATAGAATTGTGCAACAAAAACAGACAATTAAATTGTTGTCATACAACTGTTTATTAACTACTGTAACCTGATCTTTATAATTATAATAATTAAGAGCTTTAATTTTGGGTGAGCTTGCGACTTAAGGAGCTTCATTAACCTCATGTGATCATGAGGGGCTTCCTGAGCTTCATAAAAAAATAGTTCAGAAACAAACTTATGACTTTAAGACTCTGATTTGGAATGTATTGCAGGAGAGCCACAATAATTATTAATATTATTAGGGATCAGGTGTGCTACAAATAGGATGCTACGCCTACAATTAGGCCCAGGGGGTTCTCCCATATATAAGCTATATAGGTATGTGCCGCTGTGAAGGGCAGGGTTTTTGAGCAGTTTAGTCTAGGATAGGGTATGGAAATCAGAGAATTTTGGTCTAGAATAGGTTATAATTTACCTGGAACCGTTCAATTTGCTAAGAAATGTCTGAATTAGGGTACGAATTTTTTGCATCTAGTCTAGCATAGGGTTGCAAAATGCAGCTGAACATGGTCTAGTATAGGGCAAGGGTATCAAAGTCCCAGCGGCACATCCCTACCCAAAAATATCTGGAGTACCCCCGCCGGGCAATTAGGGAAGGAATCTTACTTGTAAACAGAATATTTCTTTTTGTTAGCAGCAGGGGGGGTTAAAGTGACAGTTTAGTGTGCCTAATAAATCATAAAAGAAAAACAAATGCAACTTTCACTAGCTTAATTACTTTAAAGATTGTCAACACTTAAGGTAATAAAAGCATTTTCAAGCATGGTTGTTGCTGAAAATGGATAGGGTCTTGACAAATTGCGAGCCAGCAAGGCATGTGAGCCATTTCAGTTAACTTTAATAATACTTTTGTTGGGGCAAATAGTAATGTCTGGTTAACCTAAATAGTATTTAGGTTAGCCTACAATTAGCTTAGGTGGCTTGAAGTTAGCCTTTATTTATGGTTGGGGATTTCTGACTAGCATGGCTTTCACGGGTCATGAATAATGCGAACCTGCATGCAAGTCATTGTGGTTAGCCTACGTTAGCCTTTGGTTAGCCTAAAACAACACTCTGGTTAGCCTTAAAATTACTCTCGTTAGCCTATAGTTGGCTTATGTACCTTATGGTTAGCTTTTATTTTAGGACCAGGCAATTCTGGCTCGCATGCCTTGCTGGCTCGCATATTGCTCACACTCAGATGGATGTCTCCTGCATGAAATGTCCACATACCCTGTACATAAATTTGTACCATAATTGTCAGAGGCACAGTGTACGTGTACAAAAATGGTTTAGGCTCTGTGAGTCGATTCATTTCTATTTTTTGTTGTTCAATCACAGAAAAGCCTCAAACATGAAAAAAAAAACTATGTTGTCCACAAATATACTAACTGACCTAATCAGTCACGATTAAACATGTGTCCATTACCATCTGATTTAATTGCATGTCTAAACTAATAAACCCAACTGTCTAAAAAAGGTGGGTGACATTTAAAATGTGGAGCAACCTTATTAATAGAAAATGATTCAATATGTAAAATTTGAAAGATTTTGCTGCATTTCTTACCTTGAATGGTCTTTTATTTGGCCTGACCACCTCTTCAGAGTTTACTTCTGAAAAATAAATACATGTGTTTGCACTGTTTATTCACTTCAAAATACTTTTAAAGTTGAATTTGGCAACATATCTTTAGACTGCCACTTATAAACCAGTAGCCAGATTTGCAAGGGTTTTTTAGTGGGCTTATATCGGGGGAGGCTAATTACAGTTCAACTCTCTCTTAACAGACACCTCTATAAGATGGACACCTGGTGTTGCTCCCTGAATGCTGTTTTTGTTTTTTTCAGTCATTTACTGTACATTTGAACTCTATCTATAAGCTGGACACCTCTTGAGGACAGACAGCTGATGCATGTCCCGAAGGTGTCTGTCTTAGAGAGAGTTGACTCATGTATATCAAGGGGAAGGTGAGGTGGGGGGAGAGCTAATACAAGCCACATAAAATCAGTTATAAAATCAGCTATATATGCTACCACTCTTATTTTTTACAAACACTTGCCAGCATTCGTAGTAAATTCACAATGTAAAGAAGTTAACCTAAAAGTCTTGAATATGACTGAGCGACAAGTTCAGGTAATTTCCAGATAGTGCAGTCTTTGTCAGCTGATTGAGCTGGAGATGTGTGTTCGTGCAAAAAATCGCAACTATTGCCAAAAAAATGTAGGGAAAAAGCTAACAAAGCTCAAATTATCAGAATTGCCTGATAGCATATCATCCAGCTTTTGTTTGCAATTATTTGTTTTGTTTTTCCTGCAAAAGGGGAAGTAGAAAGAAGTTGAAAGTTATTTCGCGTATGACTAAGCCATGTTAAAATTGTTTTGATAAAGAGTTGCCTCCTATGTTGATTTGTTGTACCTATAACAGAAACAATTAGATAATTCAGATCACTGCCTGCAAAGCAGCTCAGTAAATTTGAGCAGTGCTGCCATGTACTCGAGAAAAACAACACAGAAAGTGGCCATGCATGTGAATGGTAAAAAATACTTCATTCTGGTATATTCTCAAAGAGCTTGTTGTGCCCTTGTGAAGGCATCGTGGAAAACACTAACATGCAATCAGGCAGCCATTTTTCCTGGAGAGAGGGTATGATCACAGGTTAGGAACTAGCCTATATTCTCACTTGTTGGGTAACATCACAAGCATAATTATATGCCTCTGGTCACATACTTAGCTTCATTTAAGTTATCTGAACTGGTAAAACAAATTTGTTAAGTCATAAGGAAGCACTTGTGCATCAAACGTGACGGTCGTAGCTGCACTTAAATAATTCAAGCTGTTCAAAGTAATCAACCACAATCTAAAGCTCTAAGCACAGTTGTTATAACTTGCAAAAATCAGATATGAGAAACAAGGATGGCGCCATAAGATTTAACACCATGTACAACAAATCTGAACAAACTGAGCGATTTCCGAGTACAAAATAAAGCCAACTACAGAATACGAGGTCATTTCTGTAGAAATAGATATCAGTGAATCCTTTAGCTCGTTGTATTAGGGAGTGAAGTGGCTCGGCGGCCAGGCGGAGTTAGTGTTTGTGATATAATGTGTATAAAAGTGTTAGTGCCTAGGTGGCTGGTTTGGCTCGGTAGTGACCTTGACATCCGAGCAGCAGAGTCAGTCGACCGATACATCAGTAAAGGTACCCCTTGCTATAGGCCTGCATTCTGTAGTTGCCTCAGGAGTTGTGACAAACATGCATATTTATCAAGTTCTTTTTTACCGAATTTGTTCCACATCACGTACTCATGTCTCATGAATATTCACAAGGACCACAAGTCTGAATTATTCATAACTTAGACTAAAATGAAAAAAAAAGAAGAAATATTCTTACCTTCCGAATCAGCAGACGCCATGAATAAAATATGTTAAGCTAATTTTCCCTGTAAGGAAGGCAACAGAGCGAACAAGTACAGAACCGAGGAAATCCGAAATGGCCCGCGAAAATTAGTTTGATCCATCTCTCATATCCAGTCTACCACTAGCTTCACGGCCATCACAATGTTGAATGATTATACTTCATTTTGTGTCATTTGAGAAGTTATGATAATTCTTCATTTGCAGTGGAGATCGTGTTGTTTAACAAATAGATTCCAAGTTGCTGTGCGTCTGTTCAGTAGGGACTTTAAGAACCGAGGACGCGGTGGGTCGGAGACGCGACCGGAAGTGATTTTTCCAATTTCTGATGAAGAGCGCATGCGCGTGGCGTTTTCTCCCGAACTCGAGAACGCGGCCTGAAGAGATTTGGCGTTGTCTGGAAAACGTGAGTTGTTTAAAGCAAAACACTATAATTAACCGTCTATCACAACTATTTTGTCAATTGGAATTTAA